TGAACCTTGTACTGATAGGGCACTTTGGAAACATTTTTAATCTTTTTTGATGTGAACGATTTACAGAATCATCGAAGTCGGAAAGTTCTTGGGACGAGAACACAGCCAGAAGCCAGAGGGAGGCGAGATTTCACCAGAAGCTCAGATTTGTTAGGGATTCCATTCATTGAAAGCGACACTTTCACAGCCATATTTACGCTTACGTCAGGATTGAACCCCGCTATAAAAATGAGAGCCAGAAAGTAGCGTGTGAGCGAATGTGAATGGCATCGGGGACCAGTTTTGTGAATGAATCGAAAAACACTTGGAAACGTCCCAAGAACTAACGAAACTGCTTTCATTTCACATATGTTGGTAAAGAAGAAACAAAACGTGTTGGGGAATCGAGTTCAGCAGTTGATCGAGTAGTAGGATCAATGGGGAAGGGGGGGGGGGACGACTAGTTACTAGCCAAGGACGTCAAGGCCAAGCTGGCAAAAAGGAGACGTGCCCATACAGACCGATTTGAACAAGGTCAGAGGGGAAAGTCTGCTCAATGGTCGCACCTATTTACCCCCGTCTGATACGTGTAGGAAGATTTCTGGGGGCATTTTGCCCGGTGTGACGATGGTGAGGGCGGTTACGAAGAAGGCACAGTATGAATGAGGCTGAATACGTGGACGGGCAGTGACACACGGTGAACAGAACACACACAAAGCAAACACAACACAAACGCGCCGCCGATTTCCCCCTTCAACAACTGCATTGCGCTCATTTTCGATAATTCCAAATTGGTTATGAACGCCACGTGGCCCTCTCCTTCACCACCACCACCTCACAAAGCAATCACAATGGAATGTTCGAAAAACACCGGAAAGACGAGGAGGAAAGAGAGAAAGGAGCCAAAAGGTGGCAGCGTATGGAGGTAGGTAGGTGGTGAACGTGGCGACGAGATCGATAGATTGGAAGGAGACAATAAAATCGGCCATCACCACCACTGTACCTCCGCACCACTCCCAGCGACGGACGGTACACCCGCACGCGACACGAACAAGTTACCGTGTCAGCTGAGGCCTGTTGCAAATGCCGTATGCTGGTTGGGAAGTTACGCCATGGATAGAGTCGGAAGCGAGTTTCCCGGGGAGTTTTAAGGGGTCACCATTCGCCTGGTTTTCTTTGAGGACAAGTCCTCATCTGACCTGACTATGTCCTCCCCAATCGGTCGTTCTATCTCATTCGCTGATGGCGATGATTTCCTTCCGAAATATTCCACTCCAAGAAACTCCGCTAATCGACCGTGTAAAGCGTGGGAGTTGAGAAGAAGCCTTATCTTGATGCCTCGACCCGTGCGACCGTTACGGACCGCTACAAATTAGTCATGAAGGCCAAGGTGGGAGTGGAATGTTATGATCGAAACCGTGGGCCATCGCCAGTTGTCTTCTGGGAAACTGTGACACTCGATACAACAGGTGTGTTGATTTAAAGGGCCACCTACGGAGTTGAGTATTCAAAAACACAACAAGGTAGAAACTGGCTTTTGAGACGTTGGAACACTGAACGCTGTGGGTGGTCGTTAATACTTTCAGCCTAAAACTATACCTATCAAGGAGAAACTCGTTCAAGAAGACAATTTTCTCCTGTTCGAAAGCAGTGGGCGGTTGCGTGTGGAATAGGGGAGAAGTCTTATCTTGATGCCTCGACCGTTGTGGACCACTACGAATCAGTCATGAAGACCAAGATGGGAGTTGAGAGCCATGACCGTAAATGTGGCCCATAAAAACCCTGTGATCCGATACAACGGATGTATTGACCTAGGGGGCCATCTGCAGAAAGGCTCGGAAAATTCAGAACAGAACAAGGAACGCTATGGGTGGTCGTTGCTATCTTCAGCTTGAGCCATACTTATTTGGGGAAGGCAATTTTCTGGGGCTGGAAAGAAGCAGGAGTTAGTAAAGTCAGTTTAAAAACGTACCCACCTAAGAGAGACTCGTCAAAGACGATAATATTCTGGAGATGGAAAGTAGTGGGAGTACGCGTGGCCGGAAAGAAAGTACTGGCCAAACAAGGAAGAGGGAATCGGTGGGTCCAAGGGTGGAGCGCATGAAACATCGAAGCCAAAATGGTGACGAGAAAGTGAGACGACATGACGGCAATCGTGGCTGTCTATACAAGAGCGCAAGCCGGCCCGGCCACGTACACCCGTGTATGGGCAAAGCTGCGTGAATAATCATCGCTCCGGACGACGACGACGACCACGACGAGGAATAGAGGAATATGCTGTGCAAATATGCAACACACACACACACACGGACGGGGCACATCGCGCTTCTCATACGCCGCCGCCATCGTCACCGCCAGCCGCCGCTTGTGTTCATCGGCGGGTTCCACCGGCGGCGCATATGCATATCAATTATTGAACAGGCAGATTCTACACGACGGGCTCTGCCAGAGAGCCGTCAATTGGATACCACTAAAGGCTATGCCTAGTAAGAGTCTCACAAGGTTGGCGAATTATGGACAAAACTTCGGTCTCGAACGGGACTCGAACGGGACCATAGAGGCGCCCGAGACTGAAGCTTTGTCCACAATTCGCCAACCTTTTGAGACTTTCACGGCGGCGTTAAAACAGCAGTTAACAAATCATCGAGTCAAAACAACCTACTAAGAGTGTTTTGGGTGGTCCGTAGGGAATCGCCAGGACCGAAGCGTTCACCTATCGAAAGGTTCCAAGGGTCCGCGGTTGCGTAGGATTCTTCCCTCATATCGAAATTTGTTCAGGAACACAGAGAATTAAGAATCCTCAGTGGATTGTTGACAAATATAACAACCTCGACCTCCTGGACCTCCACAGAGAGCACACCCAGACGGAGTGGAAGGCCAATTCGACCAGGATGATTTCCCACAAGCAGAAGGGACGAAGCCTGCCGAGCTGTTGGCCCATGCCTACAAGGAAACAAGGCTTATCATTAAAGTACTTGTATAGTTCCAATGTCCAGCCGTAAAATGGTGCATTTCAAGTTCGTTCGACTTTCGTCCAGTTCTATTTTTGGACTCTTATCTAGCTGTCTGAATTAGGCCGTATGGGTAAAGAAGAGGGTTGACGATATTTAGTTGTTTTTCATGATAATTAGCTGTGAACCCGATTGTTTAGTCTGTCATAATAAAATCGATCCAGAGGTCGTATCCGAATCTTTCCTCTTCACAAAACATGAGCTACCCAACGTTCCACGATGTGTCATCCAAGGTACGACCTCAATCCTACTTAGTAGATGGCGGTATCGAATTACATCATGTCAACAAAACCTTACTTCTCGCTTTTATAGGTAGGAAGAGGATCCAGGAAAAAAGAATCAGTCGATTTTTGCAACATTTATACTTTGGATGAAGCACCACCATCCACCATTTATCCGTTTGCCTTCTACCATTCATGAGCATGGTGCGACCCATTTGAGGCTCAAATTTCTTATCATACGGGATATGGGCTGCATATAATTGTCTGAAAAAATATAAAATTCATAATCGACTATGTGAACAGAATGTCCGCATTTCAGTCCGAACTATGGAAAATTCGATTCCATTCTTTGATAAAAAGCTGTTGTTAGCACAAACGCATAGAACCCCGTCGAATCGATTATGAAAAATTGTCGAACTCAATAAATTTAAATTTTACTTCGTCATTGCAGTAGGGATTACTGTAAATATCGAGTGTTGTCCCTAACTTGGCAGTTCAACCACTTCCATGCATGAACGAAGGACAAGGTTACTAGCGAAATCTGAGGTGCGTGCTCATTGGTGGCCAGGTTGCCGTCTGAGCCACCTGGCTAATCACTACCCGGGCCAGTTGCCAAGGGATTACCTATTTATGAGATCCGAATCACGCCTAAACCAAGCTCCATAGGCTTCGTGCTTAATCTTATGCCTACGTAAACATCAATCCAGTACCAAACATCAATATTGAAGTAATTGGGAAGACTTACGTGAATGGATTCGGTTTTGAATATGGGAGGCAGAGGTGGTAGGTATGACGAGCGAGTCGATGGAGCCTATACGGAAGAGTGTCGATGTAGTAGTGTTGTCACGGTTGTCGTTGTCGTGGACGGGGCGCTAGGGCCTTATCTTTCTATCGTCACGGGTGGGTCGCGTCGTCGCTAAGGGCCGAAAGTTCGTCGGCGGGTTGTGCCTTGTCGCCTTCTTCATCTGATCGACGTCGAATCAAAATAGATCGCGCACTGTGCAAACACGAATATTCGTCGTAGCGCAGTCGGCCCTCGTTACCCTCATCGTCCTCACCTCTGTGCCTTCCTCCTCCTCCTCTTCCCCGATCTTCGAATTCACACATTTCAGAACCGGTTTCTCGTTGACGTCCCTCGACGTCACCTCTGAGACACATCTGAAAGCAGCAAGCCGGGTCATGCAGTGACCTTCTAGCCAGCAATCTTATCAGAAAGTCATATGACGGCGATAACGGGCGACCCTAATGCTGGGACTTTTGGACTCATTATCGGTCACAGAGATAATGACTCTCATGCACTTTCGCAAGTGTCCTGAGTAGTTGGCAGGTTTTCAAATAAGCTCTTTGGGAACCATTGAGTGCAGGTGTATGTATCCAGCCGGGGAAGGGATAATATCTGGATCGTGTTTCAAGGTCATTGGGATTCAAGCGGGGTCAGCGGTCGACATCGGAGACTCCATGGAAACCATGACCAAATAAGCGGAACCCGTCGATGAAACCCCATTTAACGAGCATAGATGGGGATGGATGGATGCGCATATCAACAGAAACGTTCTATTGAATGAAGCTACGACCACCATGGTGCTAACCACCTGGGTGTGCTCGTTTCTATAGTTGTAATTATCAATAAGAATTTCCAATNGTCGACATCGGAGACTCCATGGAAACCATGACCAAATAAGCGGAACCCGTCGATGAAACCCCATTTAACGAGCATAGACGGGGATGGATGGATGCGCATGTCAACAGAAACGTTCTATTGAATAGAGCCACGACGATCATGGTGCTAACCATCTGAGTGTGCTCGTTTCTATAGTTGTAATTATCAATAAGAATTTCCAATATTGAAAAAGAAAATCAGGCGGGGACACCGGATACAGCTTGGGTAGAGTTCCAAGATGGATCGGGCTCGGATCCTATCGGGAAGGCTACCTCCCAGAATTGGAGTATTCGTCGGTTTGGAGTAAAGTAAAACAGTCGATCTACTGTTGAATTTTGCAAAAATCTTCGAACTTTTACTCATAGAAAAAGTAAAGTAAGGTTGTAAATGGGGGAAAATGTAAAGGAACTAATTACATGCCCTCGTTAACGAGTGTAAATGGCATATGATCCATAAAAGAAGAGTGTGAGAAGGGAAGAATAGGGCCCGAGATTGACGTACACCCACCACACTACATTACTTTCACCAATTGATTTCTTACCCACGTTTGTTCCCCTCAGATGAATAGAGTATGCGAAAGCATAAGAGTCTAATGGGAACCTCGACATTCGACAGAGAGAGAGTAACACTATAAAAACCCACCTGAAACTATATAGGAAAACACTCCTGGGTGAAATTTTATAAATTTTATCTGAAAATGTTCGCCAAATATTAATAAGAACTGATATCCAAGGGTTGAATTCCCTGAGGCTTTACCTCCTTACTTCCTTTTTTTCGCAAGCTTTTCGAATTTTTCAGATTGACTGGATTCTCGAAAAAACTTTCCTTTGTCGTGAAAGCAGTAATAAACCCCCAACCCGAGATTTTAAAGGAATTTCAAGGCCCTAATATCAATTTTCACATTGGTCACCAGTTTGACGGTTATATCATCGGGAAAGGCAAATATAACCCCTTTGTTTCCGCTTTTCAATATTGAATAATATGAATGCAATGAGAAATAAACTTACTATTCAGTCAGAGATTGCAGTAGAAAGAATGTCGGAGCCGAGTGGCGTGTGAATCGGTGGCCGAGGCGACGAGGGGATTCTGAGGGCGGGTTCTGAGAGTCCGTTACCAAGGGGAACGCGTTGCAGAGCAATGGGGGGACGACGACGATAGCGGCTGGGCTGTGCTGCATGGCGACCCATCGCGCCCCTCCGCTGCCGTCGCCGGCGGCGGCACACCCGTCACTGATTAGACACGGCGTTTCACCGCGACGATTACGGCAGACGATCTCTCGAGTAGAAATTATTGCCGACAAATAGTCATTAGGACGAACTCTGGCCGATTTTCAAGACCTCAACGCAAATGGAGTAAATGCAAGAAAGTCGGGAAAACTCTCCCATTTGAATTGAAGCCCGTGTGGATTGGCTTGAACTGTCAAAGTCTATTCGAGACCAGCAGCTCAAAGTAATCTATCGGTGATGAAATGGGAGGATTTCCGGTGCGCCGGAGCTCGCTCGAAATCAAAAATGCTGATTTCATTCACTTTTTATCGGGTTACAGTTATTCTGAAGCAGTGCCGAACGGTGCTACCAACCAGTGAATGATTCCCCTTATCCAACCAGGTCCTGAATGTTGTTAAAAGAGATGCTTATAAGTGATAATTTTCCTGAGTTATACATGATCGGCTGCCCTTTCTTCCACTCCCGTTTACGTCGTTTTATGAAGAACGTAAACCTAGGCGGGCACCTCCTCCCACCCTGGCCCACTTCTTGGTTGTAGGTGACCGTTGTGTCGCTTTTCTTCTAAAATTATGGTAGAAATAGTTCAAACACTTTGATCAAAAGAAACTTCCACACCGGTCAAAGGAGTCGGTGAAAGTTTCTCACGAAATCCTACTTTATTCATGGGCTATTGAAAAGACTGATCCACAAATCCGTCTTCACTCCACCGTCCTGACTGTTACCCTACTTCTCCAGACAAACGAAAGGAACGTTTTCAGGAAGGAACTCTCTCATCTAAAGATCCAGCTCTGATCTGCCTGCACTGTTGCTGCGTTTGTTTCGAAGGGACATCGATCTCGCTCGTGCGATCAATATCCATTTTTTACACGCTCAGCTGAGTAGACCATCACGAAGCATAGGCGAAATGAGCGATTGTGATTAATTAGTGATCGAAGCAGATCAGTTGGTCTAGCTGCTCCCGGATCTCAGAACCCATTCAATCTCGAAAAGCGAGAGCCCGGGAGTCTCCCTCTGCAGGAGAACGCAGTGAAACATGTTCTCTGTTCGGTCAGCGTCACCCACCCACGTCGTAGTCATGATTTGTAGTACTGGATAACTGAAGAAAGTATTTGTAGCAGTGGTTTTTCGACGATTACCTCATCCAATTACCAGGGTGGAATTCCGTGTTCCTATATGCATATCGAGAGTTCAGCTTGATCAAACTTTCCCTCCTTATCTATCTCTACAACTTGGTATTTTCTCATACTAAGAACAACAGAACGAGCTATCAGATACAGACCTACTGGCACTTCAACACAGTCGAAAAGATTTGTTCAGTAAATAAGATGCTGTGGAACTCGCATGGATGCAGTACTCGGAGTGTCTTAAATTCTACAAATTCTAGATTTGAAGCAGGGCCAAGGAACAGGAAGATCCGATACTGACGAGCTTCCGACAGTTTTTACTTTTAGAGCCGTTACACAAAAATCAGTAGCTAATACTTGAAGCCAGATATAAACTATGTGGGGCAGTGGCAAATGGCGCACACACACAGACATACACAGAGACACACACCACACGCACACACAAACAAACACCGACACACACACCACACACACACAAAACACACACATACACACACACGCACACACACATACGCACAAACATACACAAGGTATGGAGACTGAAGACCGGATCAATTGTCGCCCAGGCCAACCAGACCTTATTCCATCCTTCCTGGTTCGTTTTAGTGATACCAGACTTATATGGGCGGATGAAAGCACAGACTTGTATATCGGCTGGCAGGTAAGTGTGTGTATGTATAATGAAAGCCAGACGATGTAAAAGTCAAGGCTTTTATCCTCTCAAACAAGTCCAACAGCAATTACTGACTTTGGAAGGCCGGAAGGCTTGGTCGACCAGGGAGGATATGCTCGAGGATTCGGTACTCGAACCATTCATGTGTGATGTAGTAGCCAGCCGTACAACTTAGTGCTTCTGTCCCTCAGAGAAATCTGACACCATCGTAAGGCTGGAAGAGTTGTTTTTTTTTCGGGCAGATGTCTGTCCGCGATTCAGTCCTCTGGCCTCGATTGCATGATAGTGCACCACTTGCCACTATACCACATCTATCCTCATCACAGCCCTACTATTACTATAAATATGGATATGTTATAAAAAATACATAGAGAAATAGATATAAATAAATATACAGATGTAGATATATAGATACAATATATATAAATAGAAATATATACCATTAGCAAAAACGGTGAAAATGTAGTTAAGGGGTGGAGGGGGGCACCCATCCAAAGGCTAGTATATCAAGAAATGAACTCACTACCTTAGCTCTTTAATGCGGTTTCAGCTAACGAAAATTAGTTTCCCAAATAAGCCTAGGTAAGGTAGGAGCACCTGGGTGGCTGGGATGATTACCTCGCGCAAAAAAAAAAAGAAAGAAAACTCGCCCACCGCAGTGCTCCTTCCTTACTGGTATGTCCCGGATATAACACGGCATAACACGTTTCATTGAGTTCATTTCTTGATATACCAGCCTTTGGATGGGTGCCCCCCC